AGTGGGGAAACTTTGTTTATGTGCCGTCGCGGTGAATTGATTCAGCCACAAGTATGAAAAGAGCTCTTGTCATCGTCCAAGAACAACCAAACAAGGTGTATACGACGATGGTGTTTTCAATAAAGTCTTCTCCTCATATGACTGGTAAATAGAGTAAGACCTATAAAGAACTACAAGCTGCCTATCGAAAAACTTATGTGCCACACTGGCCTCACTTACTCTAACAAAACGTGCAAACCGCATGCCCATTATCACAAAGGAGTTAGCATTAAAGTGAAAGAGACTGAAGCTTGACCCTGCTGCAACACACCTAACACGGCTGATAATAAATGCCGGCTGTAGAAGACGTTTCTAGGAGGATTTAGATCGGTATAGGCAAAAAAATTTTTTGAAGCAGCTCGAAAACGATCTAGCTTGAAGAAGTGTCGTCGAAATTTGTGCAACTAATAACGCTTTGCTGTCCATTTTTATTAACTAGGATGGTATTAGCACCATAATCAGCTATGATATGGAATCGTTAACGAAAAAGTACTGTACCAATATTTTCGTTCAACAATCTCCATCTCGGACCACGAAATCCCCACTGCAGAACAACTGTCCACGATTTACACTGTGGAGTTCGAGTTACGACAGAAAGCATGAACAGAAGCAGCAGCGAGACTTTAAATTTAAAGACCTTAAAATTTAAAAGTTAAATGGAAGTAAAAAATAAATTAAAAAATTGAAACCTAGGAAAATTTAAAACGTAAAACATAAAACATAAACACGGACTAAAGATGAAAGATAAAACATAAACTAAGAGTGATGCTGCTATAAAAAGCTGCATAAGTTCCTCCACATTGTTCTTTTTTATTTAACTGACTTGGGATAACAAGCGTTCATAAAAAAATACAAAGCAGGAATTGAAAGATAGGACATGGAGAATACTCAGCTCTGATGACGAACGAAAAGTGAAATCGTTCAGATGTGAAACAATCCAACTCTTCAACTGATTTAACTAACACCGTTCAGAATGAGTTTACGATAAAAGTGCGGTATGCACGTTTCCAGAAAAGATGTGAGTAAAACCTACCGCTTACGTAATAAATGTCTGCCTTTGAGGCTGACGGTGAAAAGCTTTTGCTATAATCGGTAAAAATAAGGATTTTCTATGCAAGAAAATATAAAACTTATTCTTATGGCACATCTTCATACAATGCAAAAGTATTAGCACCTCTTTCATTCGTTTCGTTGCTTTCCACCTACTATCGGCAAAGTTCTTCGGATTTTTAGTGTGGATTCCTCTACCACATGAGAACGTCGACCTTGTTTATGAACGCCGGCGAACGTTGACCGAGCATATTTTGAGTGATACCCTGGAGAGCACAAAGTCGCATTTATTCTGCAGCAGCCATCCACGGCCAACTTAAGACGCCCCATTCAGTGGTATAAAGATTCCTCAGTGGGAGATTCATGATAACTGAACTTTGCTGTCCACTTATCCCCTTCGCGATTTCATGTGCAGGAAACGCTTTTATCGATTTCTTCAGCACTTTTTACATCTTCTACCTACATCGACTCATCTTTTTATTCTCAACGCTTCACCAACAGCACTCTTGCTTTCCCATGTACATTTAAAATCGCCTGTCTGCTACGAAAAACTCGAGGATGGGTTGATTGTTGTTGTTTTCGCTTACGTGACATGCGATAACGTTAAGAAATTAAGTGTTCTCTGCCACGTACAGAATCGTGTCCATAGTGGTCAATTTGTCGCACTTCCGGGGTTTACTGAATGGCTCAGTGCTGAATGGGCCACGTGGAACGTCATACACTCATACGATGGTTTCTTAGCACACTTCTTGGCAAAAAAGTGGCTTTATGTTGGCGTAACGACAGTGATAACATCAATGGTAACAAAAGTAGTAATGGTACCAAGAATTACAGTAAAAAGAATAATAGTGACGACAACAATGACAGTAATATTAACACATGAGAAAAACACTTGGGGCTTGCACGAACGGTAAAATAACGCTACAAAATGATGGCTATAAAATCTCTACACGGATAAATCTCCAACGAAAAGCGAGTTCCAAAATATTACAAATCGATAGCGCTGTAAGAAATATTTACTGCGACATCTCCTTGGAAATATCATAACGACAAAAGTGGCCATCATTTTCGAAAAACAGCAGTTTGTATACTTCACTTTACGGAAACCGAAATTGAACACTGTGGGGATTTGGGCATTTCCAGCACTCCAATCTTTTCCTCAAACTCACCATGGATTTTGCGAGTGAGTTTGGAACGTTCTTAATGATTTTCGATCCTCCTTACTAATGACATCGTAAGCTGGTCGATTTGATTCACACTTGAATCTTAAGATAAGTGTGCTAGGGTGTTCCCAAACCTACATCAGAGAAAGCTGCCAACCTTTTTGGATTGGAAAAGCCGAATTGATCCCAGACGATTTGTTGCCAATTTCTCGAACCTGGACGCAAGAGGGTCTTGGTTGTCCCAGAATTATTGGAACCAGAGCTTTGTCCGCATTGGATTTCATCAATATCGCTGAACTGCCCATGTCCTGAATCAGACCAGTAGAAAATACTAAATAATAAGGATAGTAACGAGTAATGAATAAGAAAAATAGTAATGACTAGTAATACCCGATCCTCATTACGGTCTACCGTCTCATCGTGGCTGGAACGTTTTCCTGGGTATCATGTACGATGTACAGAACGGTGATTCATCCCCAGAGGGTTTTCCTAGCTGAGTCCAGTTTTTCTATAAAGAAACTAAGATAAGAGTAAACCAATACCAAGACCCACCATCGGCCAGGTATCAAACTAATTGCATGATGCAAAAATTCCCTCCGATCCAAAAAGGAGGCTACTACCCATGGTGGAGAGGACTTGAGGCGAACTTTCGCCTCGCCGATTTCGGGATTCCATTGAACCACAACGACCTAACCAACAAAACTCCGAAGCAATAGAAATTATGCCGGGTCCACAAAACTAGTGAAGGCAAGCTGCACAAATACACAAGTGTCTAAGTAATCACCATCACAATAAAACAGTAGTTAAGTCGATGATTGCATTATTGTATGCAAGTAAATTCCTAACTTGCAAGAGTATGCAGGTGTTCTATTGGCACGGAAGTGTTTAGTGAAGAAAGTTTCTCATTAAATCTATTCGTCTGTAAGTTTGTAATATCAATCCGATGCTATGATAATCAAAATCAATGTGTCACATAACGAATACGACACGAGGTGAGAGATACTATTATGGCTTTTTTCATTATGAAAGTAGAGGATAACGCGCAATATTCAAAGCACTGGAGTCAGTGTCTGAGCGGCATTGCCTTTCCTTAACTTATCGTTAATGGAGAGAGGGGAGAGGATTAATGAAATTTTCACGCCTTAACAATAAATTCTTAAGAGCTGCTGTTACCATAGGTTTTGCAATCCACACACTGAATCAAATATTTATGTGGCAGATATGAAAGAACATACAATGGTTGCAAGTAGCTAGCTTAAGACTGGAGTGTTGACATCAGAAACGCCGGCAGGATCGTCTGTAACATCCAAAGGTGCTCTTTCCAATTGTTCTATCAGCGTTGTTAGAACTTCAGCAGCAACACTGGCTTCCTGGATCCGCTCGTTCAACTCTTTCATGGGAACTCATAACAGGAAGCGAATTCTCAACATATGTAACAGACTTCAACAATGCATCTTGCAAGCTTAGGGTCCTGAGGATTGAGCTCCTGCATGTCAGGGTCATCGGAGAATAGAAGATGCTGAGTATATTCATGTTCAGGCATGGTAACGTGGCGAGGAATACGAAGAATGTATTTCAGAATCCGTTCCTTAAAAAAACGCATAAATACCTGCCTAGATGAAACACCTATACTCTGCAAATAGCATGCATGATCTATACTCCGGAATAAAACAATATCTGCAAGGGAACTTCTAAGATTGTTCAGTACGCAACAAAAACAGAAGGGAATTATACAGCGGCCAGATTTAGTGAAGAAACTAAACAAGTGCTCGCCGTTAAGATATCTGTTGCTTCTTTTATACCCCTATTATGGAAAAACATCTTAATGACCCCTGCCACATAGCCGTGTTTGTCCTCCATCTAAACTGCTAGAATAAAACATTACCTATTGTTCAGAAAGACAACGACATAACCATCACCCACTTCGGAGAAAGGGGCTGAATAGAATACTTCCCCAACTGCTTCCACTCATGATTGCACACAATCATTGTAAACTAAATAATTCCTTTGGCACATTATGTTTAGAATATACGATGTAAGCATAAAATTCGAATGGGGAATATTACCAAGCAAACGATATCAAGCATAATCCTTGAACAAGACAGACTAAATTACCTGTGTCCACAAACCCAAATGGGGAAAAACCATATTACTGAAACTCGTGCTCATTGACGAGCTCAGCTCCTACATCGTCCATCTCGTTTTGAAGTACTTGTGAAAAGACCTAGCGTTTTTGAGAATTGAAGCAAAAATTATTCAATACATTGCTAAAACATAAAGCCAAAAATATAATATCGCAAAGCGCGTAGTCATATACGAATGAGAAAAAGAACACGTTTATTAGTGAATTAAACCAACAATTATAGAACAACCATAAACGAAGACGGGAGTCACCAAACCCCTTCGCGACGGTGTTGAACTTCGACAGGGGGCGGGCGATGATTTTTCGATCGCGTGTTAGGAACACTCAAAGGCAACAAGACGAATAGAGACAAAATTCGAGAAAAGTATATCACTCCGTTTCACTTGCATTTAGTGCGTTTACTAAAACAATATTAAACTAAACTGAACTAATTAGAAGGATAACAAACCATTTAACCTTCGAATGGCTTTGGAAAAACAAGCGGATGGCAAAGAAGTCGACTGCGGCTGATCGTCAAGAAGAACACACGGCGAAGATGTCGATGAGAAGAATGTTGTTCCGAAGTGGAGCTTCAATGCTGTTGATACATTTGGGCGGAAAGATTCTTGTATCATTTTTTAACGAACGTCCACGAGGATCACTTTGCCAACCAAAATCACGTAACGTTGCTATATGCCAATCACTGTCTACGATCTGTCATGTAGCCGTTTGAAGGCGCATCAACTTCTGGAGACAGTGTGTTTTCTACAAGAGATTTCCGCGCTGATAAAAGACTGCTTTGTTGTTTCGAAAACGATTCTTCATTTAGTAAGCTCGAAAACACAAACAAATCCAAGCTCTAATTCGACAATACTCATTTGAATCACCTAGATCCATCATTCCCTAGTATAATGGAGTGCGTAAAAATGTTAAATCGTGATATCGCTAAACTTCATCGCCGTAACATTTTAATCACGGTGTTATGGCTTCGCACAGAAGAAACCTTAGAACAACTAAGCAAGGACTATTCAGAAGTAACACTAACGAGAAATGAACGTTTAGTGGTGAGCAGACTAGGTGGACTTAATGAAGGCGAATTTCAGGAACACATTGATAGTACCCGTATTCGCACTTCACAAAGACAGCCTAGAGATGAACTCCATACACTGACGAAGATTAAGAATCCAAAAGTGTTTGCTGAGCTCTCCTTACGAGAGGAATAGAACGAAATAATTAAGGAAAATCTCATAACAATTTCCTATTCCGAGCACTTCTCTTGGACGGAAATCTTCGAGTTCCTATTAAGGTTACGATTCAAATTATATACTAACAAATGGCAAACTAAGAAGACGGATTACAACCCCATCCATTATAATCATCTAGGTCTAAATAACTACGGGTAGCATAAGCGCACAAGAAGGCATTCCTTCCGTCGGAAATCTGAAAACCGGAGAAAGTCAAGGTAAATATCATAATAAGAAAATTTCCAAAACTCCAATACACCTGAATTTGTGACGATGGTTTCCGTAAGTGTTCCGTCCTCAAGGAAATGCAGTGGGCGTTTACGTGTCAAATTCATGGAGGTATGAGTTAAAACTGAGCTCCCAAAAGAATATGTTGTCTCATAGAGCTAAGAAGGATAAAGCTCTCAGCGTTGATCAATGCCTGAGGGATGCGCTATGCATTCGATTTAATTAAGTAACGTTTGGAGGTGGCTGAATGCATATCTTGCCTTTACAATGACTCGCAGTGGTCCACCAATGTATCAAGTCGGTGCTGCTGCTCTTCCAGACCAGTCTGGTACCAATTTGCTGACCTCGGAAGGCCAGAGTGCTTGGTGGGTCAAGGGCGCTAAGATCGATTCCACGTGTGTGTTACGGGGCGCCTCCGACCACTGCGCCACACGCGTCCTATATTGTCTTATCAGTCCACAATTCAGGTAGCCTGATTACGAGAAAAATTTATTCATGATTTCATTCGATGTATAAGTAGACCATGTCTTTCTACTCAACAGTGGTTTGTATATGGTTTAACGGTGCATGTAGAATAATATCAAGGTATCCAATACAACGACATTTGCAGCACATTTTGAATCCACTGTGCAGACTGGTCAATGTCGACTTCGTAATCACAGAGATTGAATCAGATCCCAAGATAGGGCTCCTATTAACCTCGGCATTGCTTTATAAATAAATGGTTTTCTTTCTCAGCAGTCGCGAGGTTGTTATACGGCATACATTTACTTCCTTACAAAAAACACATATAACACAATAGCAGCTGATGTTTCGGCCGACTTTCTTCAGAGCTTGGAAGGTTATGTTGGTATGCAAATTACAACACCAAACGCCTCAATAAGACACACAAAATGGTGGAAATCTATATGGTAATCATATAATCAGCAGATTCGAAAAACCCACCCTTTGACGTGCCTTCCACTAAAAGCCGCTGATTACTCGCATATGGTCAACGACTGCACCACCTCACATCAAAAATCGATGCGGAGGTACGGGCCGAGATCATGTGTGATATCTGGGCATCCATCCGTGCTATTCATTGTAGGATTTTTTTCCAAATATATGGTGATTCTTTCTCTGTAGAAGGCATGTAAAACTGGCGGTTTTTCGAGAAGCTGTTGACCATGTGATTATCACAGATTCTAACCTTTCTGTGCGTTATTGAAGTATTTAGCACAGCAAATTGCACATTAATATACCGTTCCAGGTTCTAAAGAAGGTGATACTGCCGAAGCGTCAGCTATTGTTGTGTTGTACATGTTTTTGCAGGGAAGTAAACGTATGCTGTACAACAACCTCGCGAATGCTGAGAAAATAACGACGCATTCTTAAAGACTGACTAGTCGCCGGATTACGTACCTACAAAAAAGTTCCTGGAGAACGTAGATTATAGGCACAGCCGCTTCACAGAATAGTTTCACAACATCAGTGATTGAAGCAGAGCAATATCTAGTAACAACCGATCTGAAATCGATCCGAACACGAAGCACCAAAATGATTTCACATGGAACTGTAGCTTAACTAGCGCAAGATATTATATTCAAGAGGTCACAGAAAAATACCCAGTAATCACTTGGTCAATAACGCGAAGTGCTGTTAACAAAAGCAGACTTTAACATCTAAGAGCATATGCGGGAGAAGAGCAACATATCGCTTGGAAATTGTTTGCAAAGACAAATGAAAAGAAAGCAACTCTCCAGCCCATCGTTCTGGCGGAGAATTTATCTCTAACTTTAAATCAAGATTGGTATCACAGGCCATTATCTAAGCGTTGATAAATGCTTCGACCATATCGCTGAAAGTTATCAAAAAGTGCATGCCTTGAAATAGTACGCCTCAGTATTTGACTTAAACAATATAGAAAACGGTACCGCCTGAAACGTTCGATTCCTCTCCTTAACAAACGCGAATTGGTGTGAGAGCCTCAGGACTGGGAACGTTAGATGCCGGCAGTGCGAATCATGTATACGTGCTAAATTTGACCTGCTGTCACCATGGAACTGGGAAAAAGAACGAAATTTCTAAAAAATACCTTCTATTTCTTATGTAAACACTGCTGTCTTATGAATTCTAAACAATCAAACGCACTAAATGAATGGAAAACATTGGTCTGAAATGACTGCTAAGAATCACAACTGTGTTAATGCCACGTTCATTCAAAAGCGTCAAAAACGAGATTCGAAGAGGCCAGGAGATTGCTGAAGTCACTGTATCTCCTTAGAATATCCAACAACGGTTCGGTAAAACCGAGATGCCTAAAACCAAAAGTGTTAATAAAAACGTTAAGGAACAACTGCTACGGAGGACATATGTCAACCTTCTGTCATGAAGCGCACTTTGAATGAACGTCGTTCGGTACTCTGAACTGCATAATAAGGTTTCGCACTTCGCTCAGCACGTTTTCAGATGTGTTTTCGCCCGTTACAGGCCAAACCATAACAGATCCCAAATCCAGTACATTCGCGATCAACCTAAATTATACAAGTATATTCGACTTTTTCTAACGCATATGTGTTTCTGATCACCTTTCCCTTCTGAATCTTCCAGATTAGTGCTCTACTACTATGTCTCAATGCAAAGCTTATTTTATGCAATTTCGCTTTGAATAACTGGAATGACACACAAACTGTAAATTCTGCCAACGTTAAAAATTGTAGGAATTTACGTTTACGAATAAAAACGCGGATGTACGCAGCGTAAACAATTCGAAATATTTATGAAGCTGTTTTTTTTAAATTTTATTATAAACGACCTGTCTTCACACATACTATGCGGATCCCAGACTTCTCACATTCGATTCGTTTCCCCGTCTCTATCATCCACTAAGGTCTTTCAATTTTTACGCGTGAATTTTGCAGCTCCTTGACGATTTTCATTTCATCTTGAATGTCGAAGAATACTGGTCGAGTCGACTCTCCCTGGAGTCCTGAGATAGTTGGGCTGGAGCGTTCCCCAACAGAATGGAGATGGATTTTTCACGGACGATTAATGTACCAATTCCCTCATCCCTGAGGGATGAGAGGTTTGGAGAACCATGAGCAGGATCGAACAGCACCGTGCTCATGATCATTGGCATCACTATCGCTGTTTTATCCGTCTCTTTTTAATATGTGAAGAGTATGTGAGAAGAAACACACTACGGTTCCATATGAATTCTGTGCGGTTGGTCTTCACCAGACATACTCAGTGGAAGCCTCATAGAAAGCGGCTCTGAGGAAGGCGAAATCCGCCGAAACGTCAGCTTATTCGTGAATAAAGAATAAAAATAACATCTCGCGTTTGCTGAACAAGAATACGAAGTATAACTATAACGTTGCTGAAATATTTGCAAAACTCCGGAACTCAGGTGACTGCGGTGGGGACCGACCACGCCTATGCCCTTTTCAAAGGCTAACACGTTCACCATCGATTTTTGCTCTCCAGATCAATACCAGTGATGGGTGATTGCCGATATAGCAGCTGTTAGTGGAAATGAGGTCTTCGAGTCAGTCCTCGGCACCTTATGATCACTAACTTTGAGTAGGATGCTCGACTTCGTAGAAGTTGCCACGCGGGACTTTCTCGTATTTGTCACAGAGCAATACCTCAAACTTGGGTAATTAAACCGTTTACAGCAATAATAATTCAAGAATAACGAAATATAAACATTGGTACAATACAGACAGCAATATTGTACCATGATCAATAAATGAGGGTAATGCGGATTAGCATTTTTGCTATAGGTACAGAGCTACATGACAGCAATGTTAATATACAACAGTTACCACATACAAGAGAGAACACCTTGGATTGACTACAAGGCGCATTACAAATGATGAACAGAGGGGGCGAATACGGTATTGACGCACAGGGCTCTTTAAATATCTTCTGTAGGAGGCGGTGCTTTGGCACAGGTCCAGAACCTTTACCGAAAACACCCATCAGCTTGCGTCTCCAGCTCCCCTGTGATCAGATGACTGAGGACGGTTTGCCGGACAGCTTCAAGCCCTTTGTGTTACCGTACCCGTGATGGTTTGGAACAGATGCAACACACAAAAGGTTCCGATTGTATAAAAAGAGTGTGGTTCACAAAGGATGTTTACGACAACCAAAGTTTCTCTCAACGAAGTGAAAACGTTTGCATGCTGCAAGATCGCAAAGCGATGCTATAGGCCACGAATATGGTTGCCACAGATCTACGATATGATGAATGAATAGTAACTATTCTGGCAATAGTTACTATAGCCGATAGCGCCTACAGGTCAATAGCACGGTTGAGAGACAGACGAAACTAAGGACTCGCATGGTGTAGTGGTGAAGCCGTTAGCGTCTGAAAAGGGTGATAGCGTGTTCGGTCCCCACCGCAGACACCAGAGGTCCAGAGTTTTGTAAATATCTCAGCAACATTACGGTTATATTACACATAATACCCTGCCAGTCCCTGGTTGCTCAATTGTTTTCCTGTATGAAATTCAAGATCTGACGCAGAAGATGATACAAAAGCAAACGTTTCGTGGTTTCCAAAGATCGAAACTTGATTGCAGCAAAATGAGAAGACTTGAATCTTGCAAGGAAGGGTATGGGCTAAGAGAAGTTAGCTTGAAGTTAAAAGTAGCCATTGCTTTCACAACTAAAAGAGTTCTTACAACAGCAAAGACAGCTTTTAACCTTTGAAAAAGCAAGTAAATTGTACTAAATGAAGGACAGACATCACGTGTGAGATAACCGAAGTAGGAGAAAACAGGTTTGGAATTTATTGTCTTGAAAACTCAAAATATGAAGTAAAGCAGCAGAAGTAGCCCACAATATAAGAGCTGCATTTGTCAGAGACTCAGCAACTTTCCTGAAGTTTCGAGGTGACTTTGAAAGCTTCGTAACGGCAATAAATTCTTCAAATGGCACAGACATACCCAGATGCGCAGCACATTACATACATACGTACACAAACATATATACACACAAACGCACACATGTATGTACATTTTCATATACGTATACATACATATATATATATATGTATACACACAAAAACACGTACATTCAAGACCTTGTTTATAAAAAAGGAACGGATAGGGCAATACTTTTAGAAGTTCTGAATAAGAATAGCAGGTTCAGTGAAACTCGACAAATGGACGTCGCAGGGATTTAAATAAAGCAGAGAATTTTTGTTACAAATAGAAATAGAACATAACACAAACAGAAACATTTGCTGTCTTTGTTGACCTGCCGGACAGAAGCATTTTTGTTGTATAGTTCGATGACATGTCAGGGAAGGCCTAAAAATTTTTAAGAAACTGGAGTACGAGGCTGCGTGCGCCCCATTCGACATGCACAGAGGACCACTGATCAAAAGGCTCGCACTGTAGTGCAGACGAGGCGACGTGGAGACATTCATACAAAGCTTAATGGATCATGGAAAACGTATACACACCCGTACAACTGCTACACTAGTCCTAACTGCCACTTCTCTAAGCCTAAAGAACTCACAAAGAAGTCGTGAACAATCAAACTGCTGCAGAAAACATATTATGAAGTTTGCATGTCCACGAAGTGTGGAAATCAATTCGACAACTACGTATACATACGAACTCCAAATCTTCAAAGCATCACTCACCAGTAGATACTCCAGGTGTTTAGTGCTTTCTAAAAGAGCAATCCTTCCGTCTTTCCATCTCAGTGCCATATCAAATAAAGCTGTTGCAGAAAGTGGAGGCCTACAATTCACGACTACGAACATGTGCTTAGATTTCATACGTTTAAATCCACACCTAAGCTTCTCGTGCAGAAAGTTGTGATCTCAGAGCATGAGTAGTGAAATCCAACAGATGTCGTTCCCAGCAGAACTTTCGAATTCACAATAAA